TTTTATTTACTATATAAAAATCTAATATACCACGTAGATCATATGAAAAATGATCTACGTACACCCTACCCTTAAACATCCAGAATCAGTCTTGATATCATGCATCATTGTGGTTACGCCACAATACTGCATAATATCTCGACTGATCCGTGATGTATAATGATATCTATGATAAAACGTATTAATTATCTTCCCCAGCATCGCCATCAAAATGTCACTGTCGCTTGATCTTCGAAAAAGAACTTTTTAAGTTCGATTATGTTAAGGTTAGCTTTTAACGTCATAAATTAGCCCCGAAATTAGATCATCCTAGCCGTTTTAGGCAGGTGCCAACTTCAGGCACGCCATTAACGTTAATACAGTAATAATCCGCCATGCATTTACGTAAATCATTCTATATATTATATAATTATCATTATGTGAATCAAAATTCAAGTTTCAGTACGTATATATTAGGTAATAACTTTCATATGAAATCTATTCTATGCAAGTAAGATGTCAATGGATGGCGGAAAAATGCACGGTTCTACTTAAGGCGTACGATTATGTATAAATGAGGCTCTATACAAGATATTAACAGCCCGACTTCGATGATTTATTATGATAATTCGATTTTGCTACTTTACAAAAAATTCGATTACATTCCATCTAATTATTCTATCGCATGAATTCTTAACGAAAAGAATAAAGAACGCCATAAAAACTGGCTTTTGGGGCTGTGAAAAGGAAGTAAACATTAAAATTTTACTTCTTCTAGTAGAATGGCTTATACCAGCAGATTATTGATAGTAAGTAAACGCTACATTTCCTTATTTTTTTTTTTTTGTTCATACGAATTCCATTCTAATGGTTCTTCTATTTTCTTTGCTAGTGTGAATTCGAAGGATTCTTGGAATTTTACTATGAATCTTCACGTTCAATTGCATAGTATCTAAAGAAGCCCGCCCGTTTTTAGAATTACATGACTAATTTGAGTTGATTGTGTCCAGTATCAACAATTTTTAAAAAATTTTGGGGGCCTTTTTTTTTATAGCTATGATTAAGGTAAAAGGGTATACTTAAATTTCATCATACATACTAAAAACAATTATTTCGCAAAATCATAGGAAAATGAGGTTATAAGAAATATTCAATGCCAAAGAAAATTCATTTGACATTCTAATTAAAGTACATATTAAGCAATAACTAATGATATGCTAAGAACGAATTAAAATTGATCAATTTTAAATAACAGGTTTTTATCAAGATTTTTAAGTAAAATGAGACAATAAAGTGATTACGAATAAATGCTATGATTTTTTAAATATAATAATATCGGCAATTTATATTGTTAAGGGCCAACACACACACAACGAAGGGAGCGGCGTAGCGTAACGTAATTTAAATGACTCAACGATAGAGACGGATTTGATTTGGCGGTTTAAGACTTGAGGTTCAGTAAGTTACACGGAACGATTCGGCATACGTTGGTCAGAATGGACTTTTTATAAGCGAATTGGGGTCTTTTATTATATTGTAAGGACTAATTACAACACTCTATTTTGCTAGAACAAGAGGGCATTTTATCTTTTACAGGACAAAATAAAGGACAAGAAAACGCTCATGCCCTTTCGTTACTCTAGCATTTCCCTCCCATTGACAATCGCACTACAGTACCACGGCCAAACACTTAACCCGACAAGGTAATATTACCTTGACAGCTGTCAATCCAAATCTGACACCTTTCTTTGACGCCCCTAGCTCTCCCACAAAAATTGTTCACCTCCGTGATTTATGACCAATCAAATTTCGAGATCAGGTGTAACGTAAACAAAACTTTAATTAAGAAACTACCTTCTGCGGTCTAATTAAAATTTCTTGTGAACTTTTACCACTGTAACCGTTGATGGGAGAGCTTATGAAATATAAATGGCCAATTCAACTCCAACGGTGTACGGAGAGGTGAAGGTAACTTAGGGACGAAAAGAAGGTCTTTTATACTTGTAGAGAAGCCAATAGAACAATGCAAAATTACAAGACGAATGTCTTAATATAATAGTGTAGCTGCTAGCCAATAAACAAAGAAAAAAAAGTCCTTAGTAAGTTAAAGACCCGAAGAGAGACTAAGAGCTACTGGTGAATGCTATATATAAAAGAAAATGAAAAGCCAACTTTAAAGGCCGTGTTCTTTAATATCTCTTTAAATATAAAAATAAGTAATTGCATTATTCGATTATAGTATTTTCTCGTAAATCTGGTTTCTTTTAAGAAACCTCTGAAAATAGCATTCGAAAAAGGCCTACCGTTGACAATTCATTATGAAAAATAAGATCATCATATGCATGTCGATCACTCAAATTTGATACGTAGTAAAAAATTTATCACTTATCTGCTATATGTCGATCACTTGCGAGATATCTTCGCTCAAAGATTATTAAAATATCAAAACGTCAATCAAAAGTAGAAACTGTGCCGAATTTTGGCTAAACCTTTGAACGAAGATATCTCAGCAACCACCTGATCAAATTCGTTGAATTTTTTTTTATATGAATTCTATAGAATCATAAAATTCCAATAAAAAATTTTTCATTGAATTTGATCAGATGGTTGCTGAGAAATCGCAAAATTACGTACAATCGATTGTGAGCATACAGCGATCTACAAATTTATCAAAAGTCGCATCAATTTGCAAACGGCGATAATACGCATTCATACAATTTTTCAGGGTTAGGTTCAGCATGGTAAAACTTTAATTTGTATTTACAGGCTTTCGCTCCCGAGCTCTCACATTGTATAATCTTGACAAACTCCGGATTGAAGAAAAATAATTATATATTTAATCGAAATAAATTTAAATTTAAATTTTATTTATTTATGAAATTTCCTTTGAATATTTGTCACGAATAACGTGAGCTGAATACATTTAAAATTTTAAGTATTCTCATTGTTAACATTAATTTATTGCTAACAAACTTGTTCGAAGTATAAATGGTACTAATTATAAAACTTCATAATCATTTATTCCATAAAACTTCATAATCGTTTGTTTCATGTGTCCCGGAAAATCATCTATTTCACTTTGTTTTCTTTCTCTAATAACTTTTTTAATAATTACTTGGTAGCCTTTATGAACTACTTCTGTTTGTGGTTCATAACATTTAATAAACGTGTCAATTGCTATCTTTGGATTATTATATTCTTCTTTATATCGATCCCATTCGTAATCATCTAAAATCATAATTCCACCATCCTTTAAGAGACTCCATGCTAATACAGCATCCGCCAATACATTAGAAGCAACATGACAACCATCAATGTAAATAAAATCAAATTTAATCTTTGATTCATGGTTTAATTTGGTAAGTGCTTCAAAAGAAGTACTCTTCATAACCTCAATTTGTTTCTCTTTGCCAGTCATTTTGATATTTTCATAAAATGTTGCTTCATAACTTTTAACGTTTACTTTATAATCTACAAGAACATCATCGAATGGATCGATTGAAATCAATTTTGATTCAGGATTTTTAAACAATTCTTCTAAAATCCAAACCGTTGCTCTTCCTTCAAAAGCTCCAATTTCGAGAACATTAATTTTTTCGTTTTTAAGTTGGAATAAATGTTTTTTCCAACTATGAATGTTATAACTAAACCAATCATAAGTAAATTTGAATTTTTCATTTTCTACTGGCATTTTTTTTGGTTGATATGTATCAATAGATAAGACGATATTGATGTGTTATGAATAAAATGACAAAAAGCATTAGTATACGATATTTATATGAATGTTGCCAAGGGAAAACCTGTTATCGGGTTTTCAACATTCAGTTTGTTTACCGTGTGTTTTCTGGAGAAGATCTATCTAGATGAATTTTAGTATAGGTGGGCAAATATAATTATATTATTATTTATTATAGCTTAAGCTGCCGTAAACCTCAAAAAATAATCAAAGTGCCTTCCGCCTACTTTTTTCAACCTCAGATTAGCGGGAATGAATAACTTCAGTAAAGAATTTATTTCCATTTCCAGTGCTTATTTTCCGAGGTTTACGGTAATATACTGGGCGTATCAAAAGTTCCTGTACGTACACGGTCCCTTTTTTAAGTAACTTTATACATAGAGATCACGATAATTATCATCGTGATCAATATATATAACTGTAAAAATCACTTAAAAAAAAGGGACCGTGCACAAGGACTTTTGATGCACCCGGTATAAAATATTTTAAAGTTTATTTATTAATCTATTTATAAATAATTTAATTAGTTAATCTTTAAATTAATATATTATATTTATATTGTTATTATATTTGCCCACTTAATAAAGTTCATTCAATCTGTCATCGGGAGAGTTGTTACAAATTATAATTTTCCTTAGACGGCACTCAGTAAATAAACTGAACATTGAAAGCCCGATGACAGGTTTTCCCTTGACAAACACTCATATATTGTGTATACATGGGTATCTAAATTACGGATGTCGATATTTTCATCACAGAATTTCAAAATGTTATGTGTCTAAATTTTTTCAGTTGCCGATATGGTTGCTATATTATATTGTTAGAGGCCAAACAAAGACCTCAAGACCCAAGAAGACTCTCGCGAAACGATGCACAAACGAACCACGATCATTACGCAAGAAAATCGCCGTACGACGATCCCCGGGACCCACGAATTGAACGACGTTCTCCTGCAACAAGCTTGTGAAAATGCATTGAAGCCAAGCCTCCATAAAAAAGATGTTCACACAAAAAATTGTTCACCTCTAATTTTTTACAAAAAAAAAACTGCATTGTTTGGGTTGGGTTAAAATATCTTCACGTATGTGGTGTTACGAATTAAATTATTAGTAACTCTATACAATAACGATAACATTTTTTTTTATTTACTTCTAAATATGTATAAGATTTTAGTACAATTCTATTTTCATAGCAGTAACCAACTTGTTACTTTGTAAATATTTAATTACTTATTCTATTATGGAAATTGAAGATGGTTAAGTGGCTTAGTTGCATGAGAATCAGATGAACCACGTAAACACCGAAAAAACCGCGTATACGTGGTTACACAAAGACTGTGCCTTGAAATCTTTCGGTGTCTACGTTGTTTTTACGGTGTATACACCCAAATCTCGGTGTAAACGTTGAAATTACGGTGTTTACGTGGTGGAAAAATAAAATGTATAAAGACCCAGAGTTTAATAAACGAAAGGACAGTTTCTTGTCCAGTTTCAGTTACATTAAATAATAAAGCATATACTTATCGGAATTTTTCCCTTGAAACTTTGTTGTTGAATTCGACTTGTAACTTTAACAAACCATTCGAGACTCAATTCGACGGACTGAATTGACTTGTAACTTCGATTTGGGTTATTAAGACTCGAATTCTGGT